AGGGCCGGCCGGGGCTCCGCCTGCGGACTGAAGGGCAGGTGCAAGTCGCCTGCGCCGCACCAGGGATTTTCAGAGTCGAGAGAAAGTACAGTAAACACTATGATCTTGTCTTGACTTGAAGGGAAAGTAATTTCTCAGAGGATTATAATCGTCACCGAAGCCTTAAACCCTTCCGTCTTCCTGACTGAGTAAACCTTGAATTGGCCGGGCGTGTCGCTCGTGGAGGGGACGGGAGTCCCGGGGCCCACATGGCTTTCTGCTGGCTTTACTGAAGGACCGCCTCCGTGAGCGCCCTCAGTGCAGGCGAGGAGCTGCGGGGGTGCGCCCGGCCAGCCGGCATGTGAATAGTTTCCGGCATGTGTGAACGGGGCAGGAGCGTCTGTCTGGGTTTCTCCTGGGGCTTGATGCTGGCACTAGAGTCTGACCTTAACTCCTACGCAGCACACGGCTGCGCACGGTGACGGAGCGTGGCCGAGCGCCTGTGTCCTGTGGTCTCTCATGCTGGCCATGACCTGAAGGAAACTTGTGAGCAGGTGTGCGGGGTGTTGGGCGTCGTGAGCTGGACCACGCCCGGCCCTGGGTGCACTGTGTCTCTCCGCGTGCTGCACACGCCTGCGACCCTCCGCTCCAGTCATGCTGTTGTGCACAAGTTCTCCTGTCCAGAGAAAATTTATTCCTAAGGTCTACACAGAGAGCGCTGCCCCTTTGACTGTTTTCTAGATACCTGCGAATAAATGCAATTCGTGACCTGTATTAATGATTTTAGTATAAAGGGGAAAACTAGATTAAAATATTTGTCTTTTACCTAGTTTAGTCGTTTCTTTGAAATCTGCGTCTGCCCCTGGGCGGGTTCTGCCCTTGGCAGACCCAGGCCTTGCCCTGAGGTCTTCTTACGGGAGATGCTTCCGAGCCTGAGCCCCGCCCTCTGTCTGGCTGTGACAGGGGAGCTGGCGGGGCCGCGGGAACGTGCTTTCGGGAGGAGCTGTGGGGGATACCAGCTGCTCCTCTGAGCCCAGCTTGGAAGGCGCCCGCCCTGGTGCTTCTGTGGCGTTGGTTTGTCTCCCCAGCTAGTGGGGACTTCCCAGGTTTGTAAGGGAGCAGGATCCCTTGGACCTTGGGTGGGTTTGGGAACGCACATGCTGCTTCATGTGTAAATTATTAGAACCCTCTGGTTCCTCATCCTTCTCCACAGCCCGGATTTCTGTATGCTTCTGTGTGCACCTTCCCACCAGGACAAGCGAATCAGGCCACACGCAGGTAATGGGCGGGGCTGTGGGGGCAGGGGGGCTGGGGGAGGCTGGCTGTGAAGCAGCCTCAGAGCCAAGCTTGAAGGAGGGTGTGACCTTTTTTATTGAATTCAGTCCAATTTTTGAGGTGCAGTCTCTGCTGTTAGGTTGTAACTCTTTGCCCCCCAAGTTTCAGTTCTGTAAGTTAATTAGAATTATGTACTAGTAGCTGCATTTTTTTAAAAGCAGTGGCAACAACGGTACGTTTTGGGGTGAAGAACTGGAATGTCAGGTGTGCAGGCGCACCTGTGAGCTTAGATGCACTGGCCATCCCCGCGCAGGTGTCTCCAGAGGAGCCGCCGTGGACGTGGATCCGGAGGCTGGTTCTCTCCCAGCAGTGGACACGGGAGGCGCCTGCTTGGTCAGTGGCCGAGGTGGTCCCAGTCTGAGTACTCTCGAGTGGCGTTCAAACGAACACAAGGTGGACCGTTACCTCCTGATCTCGGCTCTTCACTGAGTGGCGACTGCACACCCGAGGTTGCCCCGCAGGAGGCTGCCGGGCTGCGTGCCCTCCCTTGGATGTGGGCAGAGCAGCGGCCGCCAAGTCCTGAGGACAGCGAGGGGGTTGGAGCCCGTCTAAGGTGCAGCCTCCTCATACAGAGAAAACCAGGTCCTTCCACCCGCCGGAGGCAGAGACACTGCTGACAGTCAGTGCCCGCTCTGTCAGTTCCACAGCAGAAGATGCACGTGCTGCGTCCTCAGGGTATGTAACACTGCGCTCTGATCTCACGGGTCTGGGGACTTGGGAGTGACCAAGGTGAAGAGGAGGCTGTATTTTTCAAAAATTGGAGCTTCCTGCTCAGCTGTTGTGTCCCCCACAGCCCCCTCCTCGCCTGCCTGCCTCTCCCTCCTCCTCCCCCGGGAACCCACACCGTCCCCGCCATCCCTCCCTCTCTGAACCGTGCCAGCCCCAGGCCTCCAGCCGCACTCCTGGACTCTCAGGGGCTTGGGGGTCACCTTCTGTCTGTGAGCTGTGTCCATCAGCCTTGGAGACAATCCTGTGACGCTGGACCTGTGCAGGTTTTCTATAACCCTCTAGGTTGGCGATGGCTGATCCCTAGAAGCCACTGTCCCCGCGGGTCTGCACGCCTGCCCGGTGCGGGTCCCGCTGCCCCGGTCTCCAGGGGCCGGGTGCCTGGACGTCGGTGGCCAGGCTCGGTGTGTCCTGGAAGCTCGGAGGAGGCGACCCTGACCCACAGGAGAAGAGCGGCGTCCCGGGCTCCAGATGCACGTGCTGCTTTCCGTGGGCGGGAGCGTCTGCTGTGAGCCGAGGAGGAGGAGTAGGAAGCCCACAGCAGCCCTGAGGTGACACTCCTCCCATTCAGACCAGGGCTGGAGGAGAGCGGAGACAGCTGTCCCCGGCCTCCGTCCTGTGAGCACGCGGAGAGCGCGGCCTGGGAGGGTGCGCACAGAGGGACGTTCCCCAGTGGCCTGTGCAGGTCAGGCCCCCGCCAGCTGGCATCTCCTCCCCTCCAGAAGCCCGATGGTGTTTCAGAGGAGGCTGGGGCGGGAGGGCGGCTCCCCGGTCCTCCCCCGGGTGCTCCAGAACTGGGGGGTTGCATGATCCTGGGAACGTGACTGTTTCATCCCATGGAGGTCTGACCTGGAGAAAATTCTATTTTATTTGTAAACGCAAAACTCCAAAAGCGATACATTTTGGTTAGGAACTCCACTAAATCAGCTGAATTCCTGCGTTGCTTTCCATAGAGAACTAATAGGCTGTTTCAATTTTATTATACAGAGATTTCTTTCCTTAAAAATTCTTTCCCTCGAAGGCTCGCCAGGCCTTCCACGCAGTGGTAGGTTTCCATCTGCGCGGTGTTTTACAGCTGTTAGAGGCTGATCTCTGCCAAGTCTTGTCGAGGTCACATCATGCCGATTTAAACTTGGGTTTTGCTGATCTAAATTTGGCAAGGTTTGACACTCGGAGTTTCTAGCACATAATTTTACCGTGTTGAGTTTTACTCCGATCAGCTGTGCTGTGTTCATGATGCCGACGGTTGCTGTCAACTGGATACAGACATCTCCTGGTCATACTTCCAAACGATTCACGAGAAGGCTGGGAGGAGCTCCTGGAGGTCCCCAGCTGAGCGGCCGTGCAGGCTGGGGGGCCGTGCCTCGCTGACCCCCAAGAGGTTTCCCACCAAGAGTGGTGGGGCCCCCTTCGCCCGATGCCCCTGCCAGCCTGGCACCTGGAGGAGGCCCACGTTTGGGAAGGAAGATACGGGTGCAGAGGACGCTGTGTGGCCCGTGTTGTGCATTCAGCCACTACATCAGGTCCTCCCGTCTCCCAGAAGTACCAGTGGCCAGTCTGCACAGCATGACTTAGGACCACTTGAACCGACTGCACTGTGCATAACCTGCTATTCGCTCACTGAGATGCTAAGGTAAGGGTGGGCAGGCTGAAAATGAAAATACAGAAAAGGAGAGAAAGGCCAGGAAACAGTGTTATCGAGGTCACTGCTTTAGGCAAAAGGGCTAAAAACAGCCACCACCAAAACAACCCACCAGGACACCGAATTAAGTATGGATTGTGTGGACACCTCATATGCAAGTTAGTCACTGATCTGAAGTTCACGTGTGCAGGGCGTCTGCCTACGTGGCAGCCTCCCGGGGGGGCCAGCCTAAGCCACACCACTCCGCAGGGGGCTCTGTGCCCCGGAGGGGTCACCCTCGGGGCGGGGCCAGGCTGCGGGCAGCCCCCTGCTGGCGAGCCAGTGTTCACCCAGAGGGCTGACTGGAGCTTCTGTCCTGCTGCTCCGAGCGGAAGGCCGACCGCAGTGGCCCTGGGTGCACTTCTTATCCCCAGGTGAGGACCTTCAGGAGGCTGCAGGCACCTCCCCACCAAGAGGCGGCTCTTGTGTCCCCGCCTCGTAGCTGGAATTTTCAGCAGCTTCTTGCCGGTTGTTGGACTTGGGGCGCTCGGTCAGACGAGAACCACACTTGTCTCTCCCCCCTGGTCCGTGTACTTGGACCCCATCGGAACTTGGGGTCCCGGCCCGGGTTGCCTGCGGATGCCACTTCCTTCCCTCCTGTCCCGGGGTGCGTGGTGCCAGTGCAGGGCTCTGAGCCCCTGTCTCCTGTCTGTCCTGCAGACGGCGCCCTTTGCGCTGAGCCCCACGTCACCAAGCTAGGACTCGGGCCCTGAACAGCCAGGAGTCGCCTGATGAGCACGCGTCAGGCCGCCTGACTGAAAGGTCCCCGCCTCCCCAGAGCAGGGACAGACATCCCTCATTCTGCTGTGCTTCACGGAGGCTTTTTTTTTTTTTATTAAACAAATTGAAGGTTTGTGGCAACGGGAGTAAAGCAAGTCTATTGGTACCATTTTTCCAACAGCAATTATTAAGGTATGTATTTTTTAACACAGTTGTGTCGCACACTTAATGGACTACAGTACAGTACAGTGTAAAACATAACTTTTCTACACACTGGGGAACCAGAAAATCTTTGCGCCTTGTTTTACTGTAATACTCGCTTCACTGCAGTGGAGCTGAAGCTGGTGTCTCCAAGGTCTGCCTGTGACTGTAGTAGCTCGCTCACTCGTTTGCCAGGGGTAACTGCCGTGATCCCTCTGTGCTCCTGTGAAAGTCTTTGATTTTGCGCAGCTCCTTGGAACTCCTTTTATCTGCTGGGTTAGACGCTGCCCAATTCAAATCCAGTTTTGCTCAAATACACTGAAAAGACTTAACAGTCCCTAGTTTCTCTTTGAACAGTCCTGGTGTTCGAACCTCGACGGCCCCAGGGCAGTGAGCAGCCAGGCCCCCCGGGCTTGGCGCCTCCTCTCCGGGTTCTGGCTCTGCGCCCTTCACCTCATGAGCTTTCAGACTTTATCGGAACTTTTCTTTTTCTGGACGAGGTCTGGCAATCGGCTGGAGTCAGACTGGGTCTGCCTGACTGGGTCTGCCATCGAACCAGGTCTGACTTCAGCTGGTCTGGGTCCTTGCGACCTCAGGCAAATAAAATGTTTAGGTTAAACAAGCAGGTTACTCACCGAAGATAATCCTAATTACAGTGGCTACAGAGGAGAGCTCCTAACCTGGATAAGCTGATCCACTTATGTGTTGTCCTAGGGAGAAAGGGGCCTCAGCCAGGCTCTCACGTAAAGGGTAGAGGGACACTGGTTTTTCCTCCTCGACAGTTTCTGGGGAACATGAAGACACCCCCGGGACACCCCAGTCACTGCAGAGCCTGCCGGCAGGATCCTGGGAAAACAGAAAGGCCACCGAGGGTGAGAATTCTCGCCGGAGTCAGCTCTGCCAGGTCCCCACTGCGATGGGGAGGAAGGGGAGATCAGACCACAGGTCTTTGCAGTGTGACGCGTGGCCCCGCTTCCGGTCTCCGCGGGCTGTCGACCTGTCTCTCCCAGGGACAGCTCCTGCCGCAGTGCTGGCCTCATTCTGCGGCTGAGAACTTGGCAGCCGTCGGGTTGGAGGCCCCCAGGACACACTGGGGCCCTGCTGATGGCGGCGGCTCTCAGTGGCACCGCCTGCACCGCCGGGGTGCTGAGTGCCCCCGGCGCGTGCACCGAGTGTCCTGGCCGAAAGCCTTGGAGGCTTTGTTGGTTTCAAAGATGCTCTGTGGTCAGAAGTTGGCCGAGTTAGAGGCTGATACTCAGAGCCAGATGGGGACGTTCGTGAGGCCTTCTCTCCAAAGCTTAAGTGAAACTACGTTCCCAGACGGAGAGAGAGACACTGTGAAGGTTTCGCAGGAGGACTTACTGAAACGTTCCAGAGACACACAGCTCTGTCTGGAACACGGGACTCCTGACGTCTGTCTTAGTTGGAAACCTTCCCGCTGATACAGAGGAGCCGATGGAAGGTAGCGTGGTGGGCGGCTGGGCGGCTGCCACCCGGGTCTCTGAGGGATTGAGGCGACTGTCTCGTCTCACAGAACAGTCACGCGGCCCTGGAAACAGCCCAGCCCCCGGCTGTGCTTTTCACACCCCCCAAAACCGCCTCTGCTCGTCTCAGAAGCCTTGCTGGTGCCATACGAGGTCTGGGCTTAGGGGACAGAGGTCGCGGTGCCTTCTGCTGTGGAGGCACCCTCCCCGCACCTCTCTGGGCGATGCTCGCCCGAGACAAAGGAGAGGCTGCCGAAAACTCGGGCTCTAAAGTGTCTTTAAAGTCTTCGCCAGGCATCAGTGAAAACTTGTAGCTGTCTGAGCCAGGAAACTCACTCCATCTGCCAGAAACACAATTTGGATCCAACTGTTCGTTTACAAAGTAATGAGTTTTGCACAATTGTACGTCTCACCCTAAAATTTTAAAACAGACGCTATAAAATACCTGTGTGTATATTTATGTGTATGTTATAGATGTGACTTTTTTTCCTACCTCAAAATGGTATTGCTGAAGTTATTTTGTAAACAGTTCAATTTAAGCCAATGAAATAGAGAAACAAGTTCACTTTCAGAAATAAGGAAACTAACCCAAGTGCCTCCCCGGTTCGGGTGCTCTAGGACGAGCTTCAGCTAGCTTAAGTCTGTAGTTCAGTTACAAGAGGAATGTCTTTAAAGTTACCATTGTAAAGTATAATGCTTTTCTTCTGTCTAGGTTTACTGCAAGTCAGATGCACTCACGTTCTCTCTCACAGGATTTGTCAGCAAGAAAGGTGACTTCAGATTATTGTTTGTCTTGTGAAATTTTCATGACTAAACATGATTGTTAAGAACAGTGAATTAAATAGACGTAAGATAACAGTTTACTTAAACTTTTCAACAATGATACTTTATGGTATGTCCACTTAAAAACAGTTTCCAAAACTTTTTTGGTAACGTGAAGCCTTTAAGTTACACTGAGAAGTTAAGTGATGGGTATTCACTGAATATCCAGGTCATTTCCAAGACGGGTGCTGAGACCTTCATCACCACACGTTTCTCCACCTTCGGCTTCCTTATATAGAGAAACCAGAAATACTGCAGTCTGTTAGTAAATACGTTTTGTGCCACTGGAAAACTTAATGAGGATAAATATGCTTCCAGAAATCAAAATGTGTTTATAGACTCTCCAGCCCACAGAATGCTGGTGTTAACTGGGGATTAAGGGTTCTAATCTCTGTGTGATTAACTGTTAACTGTTCTGTTAAACAAAGTTCTCTTAGGTTATTGGTCTGCTCTTAATAAGGCGTTGTAGAGTTTTTGTTTTACTTTTTAAATTTGGACAGCAAAATTTTGTGTGTTACCACAATAACTGTGCTTCACACTCTATCAGCCTTTGATGACTCAAGGACATCCAGTCTTCTCAATGTTAAGAGCACTGACTTCTGCTTGCCTTCTGTATGTGCCTTTAGTATCTGCTGCTGTCACTTTGGTGAGACAATTAAGTATTACTCCATGATGATCTGTGATCCTGTTCCATCAAATGTTCAACCTTCTTGACATTGTCTCAAAATAAAATTAGATAGTCTTTTTAACCTCAGAGTAACTTCGAGGTTTCCCAGGGGGCTCCTGGAAAATCCCAAAGCATTTGCCTCTCATCTTGTAAAAGAGAGATGTTCGATTATGTTTATTTGGTGTGTTAAAATATGTAGGGGAAACTGTTGAATAAGAAATGATAAACCTTCTTAGGTTATGTATGTATGAATCATATATTTCTAACACAGGTATTCCAGAATTGTCTTAAGTTTCTTGAAATTTACCAGCACTCTTGCTGTTCAGTTATCATCCTGAAGTATTGCATGCCACAGAAACAACTGTTTCCTTCCTTCCCAAATGAACTCTCACCAGCTCTGTGACCACGGGCCTTTTCACGTCGTTCATCATTTACAGACAGTTACTGTTTTTCTGGTGCTTGTGTGAGATTCATGGGAAGGACCCTGCCAGGGACTCAGCCACTGACCCCGCTGCCAGGGGACAAGGTGTTGACCTTCGCATGTGTATTTCAGAGCTGGAGGCCCCACCGGACGCCTGGTCCTGTGCAGATGCTGGGGACCAGGACTGCGTCCTCCCAAGACGTCAGACCAGGACCGAGGATGTTTCTTTCCACTCCCTCCCACTCCGGCCATCCTTTCCCTCGTTCCCCGTGAAGGCCTTCTGGATTCTCCTGTCCACCTTTTGTCTTGCTCGGGCCTGGAAGGACAGTGTCATTGTCTCAGGCCATCACGCAGGTGGGTCATCTAACCCCCATGACTGCTGGACTTGCCATGAAGCTGATGGTCCTGTGGCTCCTGTCCATCCCACCTTCTCCCCGATGTCCAGGGCCCTGTGGGTCCATCTCTGGTCAACAACCCCAAACCTAGGGGCGACCACATCCAGGTTCTGTGCAAAGAAAGGAACGCAGACGGGTGACGAGAACAAAACCACCGTCCCGTCTGCAGACCCTGCAGTTTTACTGGCCTCCATGGCCATCCTCAAAACGAGGATGCCACACTCAAAACGAGTCACCTGAGCCACACTCAAAACGAGTCACCAGAAGTCTAATTCTCAGCAACTCTTCTCTGGGCCAGGAGGATGTGTCACGCGGCCGTGACCAGGAACCCCTCAGCTCGTGAAGACACTGCAGAATCTGCTGCAGCCACCAGCCCAGGCTCTGTGGCCAAAGTTGTTCTGATCAGAGGACAGCCCGTGGCTGCCTTGCAGGTGAGCAGACAGGGTCTGCTAGGATTGGCCCACGTCCTGGAAAAGTGGGAACTCAGCTCCTGAGGTCACTGAACAAGCCACTGGCTAAAGAAAGTGACTCCTTCATCAGAGTCTGTCTTTGACCTGTCTGACTCTGGTTTGGGTCTTGGGGACTACAGACCCTGGGAGTGACCCTGCTGGTAGGAAGCGGTAGTCTTGCTGGGCATGGTGTCCTTCCAGAAGCTTTAAAAGCACATTTGCAGCTGCTAACCAGCCATCAAGCGACCTCTTTGAGGCTGGAGCCTCAGAGAAGGACCAAGAACGAGCGACGTAAAAACTGTGGCCCCAGTGACCCGTGAACGCAGCACAGACTCAGGGCCAACTCCCAGACGGTGGTGGGAGCAGCTCCGATGCCTTAAATCCCGGGCATGTCTCTCAGGCTGAGCGTCTGCTCAAAAGGGAAGACTCATTAAAAACCATGACAGTGAGCCCACACGGAGTTGCTTCTGCAAAGCCCCCACGTCACCAAACTCAGACTTGAGGACGGCACCGGCTCCCTGAGGAATGCAGTCTTAAACCGGGACTCGGGACTGGCCTGACCAGCATCAGGTAGGTGACCCCCGAGACCCCTGCCGTCCGCTCTAGGGAAGTGACCACAACCAACCTTTCTGCCACAGCAGGCCCACTGGCTCACGCGGGGAGGGCAGCGGACACGGTGGCCAGGGCAGGAGGGGGCCCAGGGAGGGACTCGGCGCTGTCGCTCCTGGGCCTAGCAGTGAAACCAAGTCCTTGCCAGGCACAGGGTGTGCCACCATTTCAAAGGACATGTACAAAAAAGCGAGCAGTCCCTTTTTCCTCAAATGGCTGTTGAATTTATTTGCTTGATCAACAATGGGTCCTGGCAAAAATTAGTTAACCAACGCTGAGACAGCTGTAATGAAATACTAATTTAAAAAATTCATGACACCTTGATAGAAATTAGAGTTTACACAAAAAAGAAACCTTCAATATTGCCAGCAAATGTGAAATGAATGTAACATGACCGACAGGATGGCTGGAAGGCTTTATACACTTACATTTGACACCTGACCATATTTTCAGTCACCATAATATCTTCTCTCCAGATTTAAAAAAATAGTATGCTGATTTCTATAACAAAGCTTTTTTCGTACAAAAATCAAATAATGGCCAACAAGTCACAACAGTGCAATAGGTAGAGGGTAAAAACCGCATAGAAGAGGTGCTGAAAATAAATACAAACCAGGAGGAGAGCACAGAGCCCCGGGGGGGGGGTCTCCATCACCCTGGGTGAGGGGCTGTCTTCACAGCCGTGTACACAGACAGAGCGGCCCCCCAGACGCCCCAGGGCCCCAGGGAAGCAGGGTGGGGGGGGTCGGGACACGGCTGCCCCCCGAGCAAAGCCGTTTCCTATTGCTCAGTCTGGTCAGCTGGGAGTCCGGCAGCGGCTTGGTGAGACGGTGTGGACTCAGGTCAGAGCGTGTCTGTCTATCGATATGGCTTATTCAGGCAGAGAGACACTTACATTCTAGCCCAGGTGAGCAGCCTACGATGACGTCCTGTTCTGAGGGGAGGTCTGAGAGCCAGAGCCTCCGGTCCAGGCGGCCACATCCCACCGAGCCCGTGGAGAGCGTCTGCTGACCAGTGGCCGCAGGAGCCGGAGAGAGGTGGCCACTGCCCCGGGGCAGCTCTGACCAACGAGGCCGCGGTGGTGACTCGGGCTCAGGGACTGTGACGGGGGCCTGTCCCAAGGAGGGTGTTGGTGGGGGGCAGGGAGGGAACCCCAGTGAGAGCCATTCTGGCCCCTCAGGAAAGGGGAGGCAGCTCCCAGCGTAGAATCTGCACCAGAGAGGTGTGAAAGGCACAAGCAGGAGTGACAGGTGAGCGGGGACCCTGGAGGGGACCACGGGCCTCGCAGAGGCGGGCGCTGTCTGCCGTGTCCGGGATCCCCCTTGAACGAGAGAAAAATCCTCATTCTGCCTTAATAAAAAAGCAAAGAAAGACGATTTTTGGTTTAAAAAGAAGCCACTCAAGGGTGAAAATAGTTACTTTAAGTTAACAAAGAAAATCTTCAGAGAAGCGGACAGCATCTGGAAGCCTCCGTGCCACGCCGGCCGCCCGCGCCTGCCCGTCCTCCCCGGGGGCCCCGAGCCCGACGCCTGCGTCCTCCATGAGGGAGGAGG